AGGAATGGTGTGTCCATTCCTTGAGGTGTTCCCAGTGATGTCTATGAAAAGCTTCAGAAACCAGAGTGTAGATCAGTGATTCCTGACATTTTCTCAGACTTTACTCAAAGAACTTCTACAGACATTTGCTTACAAGCCATCTCATAAAAGATAGCTTTTATCTTGTCAATGAGGTTTATCACCCTTTTTATTGTACATGTCAGACACTGTAAACAATTTTTCTCTCCCTTTTCTGGGTGCTTGTCAAACCTTGTATTAGTCAGGGTACACTTACTGCTATAACAAACAACCCCCATATCTCAATAACTTAACACAATAAGAATTTGTTTCTGGCTCACATCACAATCCGATACAGGTTGGAGATGGGAGGAGAGGCTTTTAAACCTAATAGTTCTACTGGATCCTCTAACAGATTAGGGAAGAGAGCATGGAGAATTTCAAGGGAGTTTAATGGATCAGGCCTGGATGTGGTATTGATCACTTCTGCCCATATTTCACTGGCCAACTTACAGTAATGTGGCTTCAAGGGAGGCCAGGAAATGTAGTCCTTTTGTGTGCCCGTGAGGAAAAGGAAAATGTCTTGGTGAACCACTAGTTAGCCTCTACCACACGAAGATATAATGAGGATTAAATGGATCTTGTAAAGAGTTTAGCTCAGCATCTCTGTACATATTGTGAGAGTTCAACAGTATCACATTAAACTCTTCTCAGTGAGGTAGACACTGCTATTAATCATCCCCATTTCAGAGATGAGAAACAGACCCCAAGAAATTTTTGCTTTCCCAAAATTGCATGGCTAATAAATGGCAGAGCTGGGATTAAATCTAAGGAAGTCTGACAAGGCCCATTTTCTTAAAAATGAGATTGTATTTGTTTAAGGCACTCGACAAATGTAGGTTCTGCCTTTATACAGACAGGCCACTTTCAAAGGTTCGGCTATGTTCAGATCTTCTGATTTCCTGAAAAGTCATTGTACCCTTCCCATATATCATTCATAAATGAATCTTGACCAATCATTGCTAAAGATGGGATTGGATATTCCCACTTCATCGCTGCAGTTTCTATTGCTTGCTTGGTCTACTGATGTCCAAAGTGAAGTGTGTTCACTCTAGAGGTATATGAAAAATAATCCACTGAGGTATGGTAAGAATTTTTGTATATGCAAGATAATCCAGTGACATGTAAGAATTTTTGTAATTTCAATGTATGTTTGTTATTCATAAAAAATTAACTTCTATTAATATGGATTGAATTCGGCATGCTCACACTGTTCCTATATTTGATGCTCACATGTCACGTGTGGTATAAATGGAGGTTTTTTTCACTTTCACCATTTAGTGACATACGGCAGTTTGTAAATGGATTTATGGATTTTTTAAAAAATTAAAAAATTTTTTTTCACTAAACTAAATCTTGCAAAATGAGCAACTGGTTTAAAAAGATTGCTGAAAAAAAAAATAACTCTGAATTGAAGGACCAAAAAAATGGCAGAACTGACACTTCTATTTAGTATCAGGCACATGATGAGATTAAATATAATGATAATCTAATCAAATCTGATAAGTTGACCAAAAAAAAAAGAAAATCCTAAACTATTAAGTAGCCTATTTGAAATATTAATGTATGTCCACTATTAATAACAAATACAGAATCCTAAGTATATATTTTGCCCTGAGATGAAAATAGTTTATTTCAACTTCATTTCATCCCTTAGAATTCTTGATTTTATCTACATTTTGTAATGGACATCATATACTAGTAAATATATATATATGTATATATATATAGAAGATGTATGCCCAAATTAAGTTTAATTAATTTGAGATATAGTAGTTTCCCCTTATTCACAGGGGATATATTCCAAGACTCCCACTAGATGACTAAAACTGCAGATAGTACCGAACCTTATTTATACTGTTTTTTATCTATACATACATAAAGTTTTAATTTATAAATTAGGCACAGTAAGAGAGTAACAATAACCAGTAATAAAACAATTATGACAATATACTTTAATAGTTATGTGGTCTATCTCAAAATATCTTAATTGTAATGTATTCATCTTTTCTTGGGAGATGTGAGATGATACAATGCCTACATGATGAGGTAAATGACAGGCATTGTGACTTAGCGTTAGGCTACTACAAGGGTTACTTGAACACAAGCACTATGATACCAGGACAGTAGATCTGATAACCAAGCCAGCTACTAACCAATCAATGGAGGTAGTGTATACAGCATGGATATGCTGAACAAAGAGATGTCATA